TATAGATATATAGATATATAGATATAGATAGATATTGTTTCAGTAAATGAATAGTGGGTGGGTAAACACTTAAATGTTGAAGCACTGAATCCTCAATGGAAAGTGTTAATAATAAAAATTTATTTTCTTAAAAGCAGTAATGCCTGTCAGTTACAGTATAAGAGACCAAGGGTGTGACAGAGGCTGAGACACAAAAGACAGCAAGTGAGTCATAATATTCATGGAGTGAGAGAAACACTGACGTGCTGCTTCGTTTTACCACTCTGTGTGTGTGTGTTTGCTAGGGATGCATTCTTGTATGGCTACAGCACTTAAGGATGTGTGTGTGGTGGTGATGGTCACTAATAGCCTGGTTGTAGCAGTCCACCATGTACATATGCACAGTGCATGTGCAACTTCGTTGGTTCCAATCCAACTGGTGACATTTGTCGCAGGTCTCTCCCCCTCTCTCTGTGTCACTGTAACGTCTGTGCATCCAGAACCTGATTTAGCTGATCTGTCCGTGCTTTAGACTTCCACTGTTGTCCAGAAACTATTACGGTGAGCTTGTGTGTATTTTCTGATGATTGCAGGTAAGAATTTTGTAGTAAGGGGGTTTGAGTAATGTGCGTACAAAGATTAGGTGTATATATATATGAACCCAGAGCTCTCTAAATTGCTTTATTCGATGGTCTGTTCAGTTATGATAATAAATGTTTGAAAGGTGATATTTGACTCCGATTATTCTTCATAAAAGAACACGCTGCAATATATATATATATATATATTTCTGTTTGTGAAAAAATGTATGTGTGTGTTTGCGAGGCAGAAAAACAAACAGCAAGACAATGGAAAATTATGTGAGGTGCCCATGTGTTTTTCTCGTTCTTTCAGTGTATACATGTTTTTTTGCACCTTTTGTGTTTGCATGGGCGTGTGCATTTCTTTTTTGCCGGTCTGTTTGTATGTGTGACTTGTGTAAATTGGCAAGACAGTGTCTGGGATAGATGGGGATTGTTACAGTGTTTGCTTAATTGTCGATGGTTGTGTGTGTGTGTGTGGATATGTTGTTAATAGGGGTTGTGATGAAGGATGAGGGGTAAAGACCCACCAAAATTTAAAAGCGTGCTTGTATGTCTTATTTATGATATACAGTATGTGTGTGTGTGTGTGTGTGCCTGTGTCTCAATAAACATTTGTTTTTGCAGCTGCTGCCAATTCAAACTAACAGATAAGATGTTAACAAGTACTGTATGATCTCATGATTTCCATGGCTACTGCATTGATACACATCATAGACCACTTAACAGGAACACAAGCACATGTGTTCCTGACCCTACACTTGTTTTGACTTACTTTAGATCACATATGTTGGTTGCACTGGATTCCTCAGAAAAAACTTTGAAAATACAAGTTGTTACAGTCAGTGTGTGAAATAGAGGATACCTAGGGGTTCTTAGACCCCCTGATTGACAGTTTGGACCCTCTCAAAATCTCAAAATGAAATTATTAATTGGTAATGAAGAGTGGCCATCCATCTAAAACTGATTGCCGTCCAAAGGAACAAGAATCTTGTTAAAGCTGCATCAGCTTCTTTATCTTCAACTGCAGTTGCTTTCATTGCGATCAAACAAAATGTGTATTTCTGTTTTTGTCTTGAGGTGTGTCTTTGTGAAACATTATCATTTGAGAAAATCGTAACTGAATAATGAGTTACAGCAGAGCACAGCCTGCAGCAGTCTGAGTTTACCTGCTGTCAATATGATTGATATGGACATCTACTGGGTATCTGTTTTAATTCATCATGGCTCATAAGTTATTTTGGTGTGTTATTTTGTTGGCCTGTTTGTAATTGCTTTATGTAGATGTTAAAGGCCAACTGGAGTGCACCTCCTCACCTCAGCAGCCTCTCATTCTTCACTCACCAAACAGTTTGGTGAGTGAATAAAGTTCATATAGTATATATATCAAAGCCTACAACTGTTAATGATAAAGTTAGTAGAAATCAGCCTGATGCTGAGCTCATGCACTGCCCCAAATCACAGAAGCAAACCACAGAATGAGAGGAAAGAGGACTCCTGCCCCATGATTGTGTAATATTCTTACAGAAGGTAAGAATATGTTACTGCATTATCTAGTCTCTGGTGTGCTTTAAATTTGTTGCTGTATTGGTCTGAATACAATGTTAATGTGAAGTAAGGCTCCGAATATGATGTCATGCTTGTTACTGATTGAACAGATTAGAGGTCGTAGCCTCGCAGTCCTAATGTACTTAGCATCAGTTGCCGTCTTATGTGATTTGGGGGGGTGGGTGGGGGGTGTTCATTCTGGGACCTACGTTAGCATGTCAGGTCCCTCACTAAGTGATATTCCAGGACCTCATAACTTACAAATTAAGCGCTGCTGCTGGGGACATGTTCATACCATCCGTATCCCCAAATGCACACTTAGGAGCAGCTGATTATTTGTCATTTTTAAGTGATTAAGTAGAAATATTGTAGCATTTGTAGTGTAGTATAGAAATCACATCATACCATGTTCATGATTGTTAATAACAATCACATTTTACAATCTTTTCTTCCTTCAGTCTATCCCCCTCCTTCCTCAGTCTATCATTGATTTATCAATCTTTGCTGATATGATAGAGGGGTTTACATTGTCAGTGACACTCAAATATGACTAGCCACTTCTTGTGACATCATTCTTAACAGTTTTACAGATATTTATTGGGTAGGTTTATAGGTTTTCTGTGAGCACGAAAATAAATGTGGTTTTTGCCCACGGTACATATTTACAGCGTGCCATAAATCGAGCCTGGACATTGTTCTGCTACATCCATCCATTATTGACGACAGCATTCAGGCAAGACGTTTATGAGCTGGGCTGTTAGGATCAGTAACTCACTCTGTCAAGAGATCAGGAAGAGATGAGTGGGGGTAAGGAGGAGGAGAGAAAATTTAGGAATAAGATGGTAAAAGAAAACCGATGAGAAGAGGAAAAGCATGAGGTGGTGAAAGGAGAAGGCCAGAGATGCAAGGATGGTGCAGAAGAGAAAGGAAGTTGCAAGGATTTTTGATAAGCTTTTCTTCGTGGGAAAATTTTGACCTGTCTCACCCCTTTTCTACATTACACTTACCATTTTCTCTGGCTATCATATTTCTTGTGCCAGTCAATAATTTATAGCTGTCACTTCGGAGCAGTGAGCACCCTCCCCCCCAGCTTTTTGAATGACAGATAAGGGTGAGAATGGGTGTTGGGGCAAAGTGGAAAAGGGTTGGAGGGCTGTAAAGCAGAGTGGTGGAGAAACATGAAGTAACAAGAAATGGCAATAGTGAAGGAGGACGCAGTACAGCCAGTGAGAAATGAGAGAGAGAAATGGATGAACATGACACTGGATGAATAAGTGGGAGAAAATTTCCCACAGATAATGAAATTATGCAGTGAAAATGCCTACCAGTTTTTATACTCTAACTAATTACAGAACTAAGAGAGAAAAATGTCAGCTTCGTGACATCAAAGTGGGGACGCAGCCTAATGATTTCTTCTCAATTTGTCTTGTTGTTTTACTTAAGCTGCTTTTAGCTCCTACACGAGCCTACAACACCCTGCAAGTCTCCAAGATAAGGACACTCAGGGTAAAGGGATAGAAGATTGTGTATGTAAAGGTGTGTAGATGTATAATTATGTGTGGCATTTTCGCATAATGTGCGTTCGCTTTTGTTTGGATGTTTATGTGCAATGGTAACCATGACACATTAGAGATGGAAAAAAGGTTGAACCTTAAAGCTGTTTGTTAAAAAAAGGTTCAGAGTTAAAAAAATTTTCCCTGTGAGTCATAGCTCTCCAGGTGAGGCAGTCGCACAGCAAAGCACATACACACAAAGAAAAGGTCTAGAGAGTCTCAGTGGAACTGGATGATGATGGAAGTGGAAGGAAATTACTGGACAAGTCTGAAGAAATTTAGCATTTGTGTCTGTGTGTGTATATACACAAGCTTTTAATGTAAGTACGTTGTGTTTGTCAGCATGTGTGTATGGGAGAGAAAGAAAGAAAGAAAGGCCTCTTCCTCTCTGACCCCACTTGCTCTTGTAATCCTCTGTGTTTTGGTGACCTTGGCAACCTGGTGACAAAACATTCTTGGTGTCCCTTTGATTGGGGCCATGAGTGGGTGTAAAGTGTGGACAGACTGAAGCGACAGCATAGGAGAGGGAACACGATGGAAGACAAGGTGAATAAAGTCGCTGGTGCCCTCAGGGTTGGCCATACTGCCTATTCAGTTATTTGCCCGAGTGTGTCTGTCAGTACTTTTTCTGCCCATTTCAATATCTACACGTCATATATTTTGCGTGATTTGCGACATAAGTTCCAGATTAGGATCTGATTCTAACAAAGGAATGAGTTTCAGCTGTACTGTATACATTACTGATACTGATTAGGTGCTTTAGGAAAATATTTCTAAATATTTGTAGTTTGTTTCTCTATCAGTTTGTCTTCACTTTTTCTCAATTGTGTAGTGTTTATTTTCTCACCTCAATGCATTTCTGGAAAATCTGTGCGTTTTTTAAAATTTTTTATTAAATGACTCAAAGCCTGCAGGTTTTTACGGATGGACACCACAATCAGGTGCTGATTAAAGGTACATTTTATGGCTCAGTGGAAGAAAATTGTTCTCTGTCCAGGTCACCGACTTGAGACACAGCAATTATTAACGATCAAATGGAAACGACAATGTTTAGTATACACTCAGTTCAGGGGTAAGTGTCAGACAATGCTGCTTGCTGGTGTGAATCACAGAATGATAATGAATGATTGAAAGAATGCAGCATTTCCTCCCTGAGCCAGCTTTGTACCCTGGTAGTCTGCAACGCGAGTCGATAAAAATAAAGTCTGGCTAGGCTGGAAATGGTAGGAAAAAAGTTCTCTCCTGAATAGCATTTAGCTAATTTTAACAGTTTTCCTGTTTTTTCTTTCCACAGTAAGAGATGATGATGACTTCCTGAGTCTTAGCGAGCTCCCGGAAACCTTCCCATCGGACCCTCCGGAGCCCCTACCTCACTTCCTGTTCGAACCTGAGGAAGGCTACATTGTCAAGAATAAGCCTGTCAATCTCTACTGCAAAGCAACACCTGCCACACAGATTTACTTCAAGTGCAACAGCGAGTGGGTCCATCAGAAGGACCACACTGTGGAGGAGAGAGTGGATGAAAATTCAGGTTAGTGGAGTCCAGAGCACAAACACACACACACACACACACAGATTTAGTTGAAATGCAATAGAAAGTGGGCAGATCACATCATACTGTCGCAAAATGGGTGGAAAAACACATTAAATGAAAACTGTCATAAAGACAGGCAATTCAGTACAGGGGCTGTCAATGTGTTTTGTTTTAACTAAATACATTTTTGACAGAAAACACTGGTGTTAAATAAAAGCCAGTGACACGTTAAGTGCAGTTGCATGTCAGTTTACACACAGGAGAACATAAAAAAAACCACTCACACTTCAACACAGGGTTTTTTTCTTAGTGAAAATGTGGCATGAATGTGCTGCTGATGTTGGAACTTCACTGATAAAACAACACTGATACATGTCACCAAAAATGTGGGAATCAAACAGATGCAGTGTATGAAAACAGATCATCCAATGCTGATTTAGTATTCTTTTTCCTGGTCTGCATTTTTTTGTATGTGCCTGACCATAATGATATTTTATTCTTTGTAATAATAACATTTTTACAGTCAAGGAAATGTGGCCCACATTTTTCCCAGACTACCTCACTGGTGCACTGTCAGCAAACAGGTTAAACCCATTATTCAACTGTTTAGCTCTTTGTGCAGAAAGGTAGGTCACATGTCAAACGTGTGTACGCAGCTGTCCCGATGTTCACAGGACAGTTTAATAGGATCCACAGTGATGTACTGGACTGCAGCCAAAGTTCCACACTTGTCACTTGTCAGCACATGGTATTACTCTGCTGACTACGTATCGCTGTTGCTTTGGCAGGAAGACAAAGACGTACGCAACCTGGTTTCATAGATAGAAGGTTGACATGAGCTCAGCTTATGGGGTCTCCACCTGATTGTTAATAAAGCAGGGCTCCCAGGGTGAGTGATTAAACACAGGCTAAAACAGATAGAGTACCTGCGGAATGAAATGCACACTGAGGTCAGCAGTAGCACAAATTAGGTGGTTGGTGGTTTGGCCTGTTTTTTTTTTTTTCTTGAGGCAGGTTAGCCACATACAGAGTGCATATTTCACATGTATATTAAAATCACTTGTGAGGAAGCAGAATTTTTGATTGTCTCAAGTCTAGTTCACACTTCAACTTGCTCACCAGAAATTTCTCCTTGTAATACAAAGCAGACCCTGGAGCCACTGTGCTGTGTATATGCTGTATACACCCGTGTATGTGCTTTGGTGTCCTGGTTGCTTAGTGGGTCTGATACAGCATTAAACTAAAGACAGAGACAGAAGTGGCTGTGCATTTCAGTTTGATGTTTCCCCCTGATTCAGCTGTCATGCATGAACAATCAAAGTAGGGGCAAATAAATGTAACGAAACCTGCAAGGAGCAAACAGGAGAGAAGCAAAACCACAGGTACATATATGGAAACACACAATGGGAAAGAAAAGTTTTAATAAAGAGGAAAATAATATAGACCTTGCTGAAGGGTGAGTTTCATAAGCATATAAAAGTTTTTTTAGCAGTTTTCTTTTGCTTTTGAACAGTTTTATCCCCCCCAAGTCCTACATCTAAAATGCTTTTTTAAAAATAGAATTTAGCACTCTATCTCTTATAATCTTCTTTCTTTTTGATTCTCTCCTATCCTGGAGCTTGTCCTTTGCCTCCCAAAAGCTCAATGTGTCCTTAAGAGGTTTTTCATTTCAGAAAAATACAGGAGTGATCTTTTTGTATTTACACTGCAGCAGTTTTGGCATCATTGGGTTTTTGTGCATCATCTGAGTCATTCGTCTTACTGCAAATACCTATGTAAATGTACATTATAGTATATATATATCACATTATGTCAGTTGTCAACTGCGAGATAGATGGGAATGTGACAAGTAATCACCTGTATTGTTTTCATGTGCTGGCCTCTGTCTTGTATTTCCCATAATCTGCACGCAGCCTTTTTAGATGTTCCAAATGGTGAGAGATATTTGCATGCCACAATAGCTTATTTGATATGAATGTAACCCATGTATTATACCTTGGCATAATTAGCTCTAACCTCAGCAAAGCAGCAGTACAGCACCTCACTGTAGGTATTTTGTATTGCTTTCATTTCCCTCTCATTCTTACACACACACACACACACACTTTTGTCCTCCCATCTTTGCTCCTACCTCTCAGCATTCATTACTGACATCATGTTCAGCTACTAGTCATTTATTAATCCTCCATCAGCCACAAATTTGCTAGCTGCTGGATTTCAAACAGTACGTTACAAAGAGGAAAGTCTGTTCAGTTAAAGACCCTTGAATTTAGGCTCTCATACTTTGTGATGGACACCATGAAGTCAGGATCACCCCTCAGCCATATGACTGAAAAAAAAAATCCATATATGTTGAACAAGTCCAGGTCTTGCAGCTACATTAACCAATAATATCTCAGACTTAATTGTCTAACTTCATTTTAGAGTTATCGCTCTGTGTTCCTGCCTGTTGAACCCTCAGGTCCACTAAACATGGACTTGGTTTTAAATGTTTCAGCCGCTCAAGATATGCTTTAATTTATGCTTAATCAATCTTGTACAGAGCCATCATAATATCACTTTAATTAATAAAAAAAACTGACTTGGCACTTTGTACTGCTCCAGGACACTTAAACTTTCAAGCACCCCATAATCCATACAGCTATACCTAAAACAATCTCACCTTTTTTAAGAAAGGACAATGAAATTATAAAGATATTATGGATCCTAGCTAGTGTGTTACTATTAGTTATTTATAGAGCACATACTGTAGAGAAGCACAGAAGGGTTTGTGCTTGGTACCTACACAGTGTGTGTGCATTGTTTATCTGTTTACTGGTATGAAAACCTAAACTCTCTAAGCTATTTTTTTTTCCTTTTTGTTTCCTGCTGTTTCACAGACACAGCTAGAAGCTATGGCCCCCATACTGCTTTTATTATCTGTTTTCTTGCTCACTCTCTCCCTCTCTGTCGTCTCCTCTCCCTTTCTTGTTCCTTTCTTCTCCCTTCCTTCTTCCCTGCTCCACGCTGCTTTGTGCTCTACTCTAATTTCTACTGAGTGAAATCAGAGAGAGCAGAGACAGATTAAACCTGAGCCTGAGAAAGCAGGGGAGAGAAGTAGGGGATGATGGAGTGATGCTGATGGAGGGTACCTTCGAGAAGGCTGGGAAGGCCAACAGATATCAGGGAGTCGCAGTGAGGAGAAAAGATGATACGGATCCTGCTGCCATTTTCTTTCTCTTCCATGGTCAAATAGAAAGTCATAAGTGCTGAAACCCAGTGTTCATTTGATCTCGGGGATAAAGATAAAGAAAAGTAAAAAAAAAAAAAAAGTACAAACAAAAGTTGTAACATTCTTGAAAGTTGTACCAAACAGCTTTGTGTGAGATGCCTTGCACACAAATAAATATATATATGAGGCTTATCTTATCAAAGAGAATGGTGGAAGTAGAGGGGTTTTTCTTGTCTTGTAGTAAAGAAGCAAAGAAAAACACAATGGAGAGTGATGAGTTATTACTAGAAAAGATTGACACACCTACACAAAGTGTCTAATTAAAGGTATTTGTTCCCCCTACACTTTTTTGCTTTGACAGTTCAATGACATATCTGCAACAAAAAGAGATTTTGCCTGTAATTTTGAGTTAGATATGTAGAGCTGTTACTTTTTCCAAAAATCAAGTGCAGATGAACACAAACGTGGTTTATTCCAATTAATTAAATCCAAGCATCATAAAATATGTTGAGGCTGCGATCACACAAGCGCCACTTCACTGCCGTGTTCATACACGGAGTCCCATCAGTTTCGTCTTTTATATGCAAACAACAAGGCCCTCAAATGTGCTTTTTATTGGTGAGGTTCTTGTTTATGAAACCGTATGAAGAAATAGTGCAAGCAGCAGAGAAGCAGGGATGCTGCACTGAGAATTTAGTGGGAGGATATTAATGGACAGTAATGACAATGCAGTGATAGTCAGACACAAACTGAATTTTTAATGACACCTTTAAGAAGGTGTTACGAGCATCTTGTTTTTTGTATATGGATGGAAAGTGTAGCTATAATGAGAACTTCATGACAGCTCAGTAATTTACTTAGAATGTACTCACATGAGTCTCATCTGGAGTGTGGGCAAGCCAGGTGAACATCACAGGCAAGGACGGGGGGTAAAAGAGTGGGGAGGGGTCAGCAGGATAGCCTAGTGGTTTCCGAGGTCAGCTTCTAACTGGACGGAACCGGCTTGATTCCCTCAGCAGCTCCACTGCCTGCCATGGTATCCTTGATGAGCATTCGACCTGCTGCTGAGTGTCCGTGCCGGCCAGCCCTTTACCTGGCTTTCAAAAGGAAGGAACGAGTCCTTAAAACAAAAATGAAAAGCAATCTGCCTTCCTCCAGACAGGCACTTTTATACAGTAGCATTATCAGCAGTGACATTTGTTAAAACATGCTTAATGTATCTCCATCTGAATTAATGTGACTTAAGGTGAGAACCAGCATAATTTGGCTAGATTGCATATCTTACTGTGAAGGGCATTTCCAGTGTTTGCTGAAGCAACGTGCGTATGACCTCAGTATATCTTCATTAGCCTTGAAGTGTGCTAATGACACATTGTGTACTAGGTTACTTACTTTGTCTCCATTAGCCAAAGTGTGAATGGTTGTTAGTCCGCTAGCACTGACCTGTGACTCCATATCTACACATACACATACTACACACACACACACACACTACTGACACACACAGTATTGGCTTGGGTGATTTGTGACCTCT